GCCACCTCCCAGGTTTCTGCCTCTTCTGTCCCCTTCCACGCGTCTCCAGTTCCCTCCACCCTTTCGCTTCCCCCTACCTTGGTACAGTCCATTACAGTTCCAATCTTTACTCATCCTCCCCCTACCATTTCCAATATTGTCTCCCATACGACGTCTCCTGAATTGTGAAACACTTGAAGCAATCTCTGAATATATTGCAGAGACCAAACCATCAATGGACACTGATCCACCCTCCGCTCCTTCTCTCTCCTCTACTCCATCTGCGCAACTCCTTTCTTCACAGCGCACCGTTCCTTCGCTGCTTGAACGTTTTCCACTGCCTCCGCATGTGGACTTTTCTAACCCCTCTAGTCCGTAGGAACCCTTACCTGCGGATTTCAGGTATCTTTATCATTGCCAATCATGGCCTATTTACAGTGGAATATACGCGGCCTCAGGGGTAATCGGGGTGAGCTTCAGATGTTACTCTCCCAGTTTTCCCCTGTTGGTGTTTGCTTACAGGAACCAAAATTACACTTTGCTGTTATCTCTCCCATCTCGGGCTATAATTTATTGTATTCTTCAGATCCTTTTCCTGATGGTACCTTTAATGAAAATGCCCTTCTTCTATGCATTGATATTCCGTACCATCAGCTATTTGTTCGTACTTCACTGCATTACACAGCAGCCCGTATCCACTTGCATAGGTGGTATACGCTCTGTTCTTTATATCTCTCTCCTTCTCGGGCATTATCTATTCCGGATATTGCCTTTCTTGTTTCGTCATTACCACCACCGATTCTGTTACTTGGTGATTTTAATGCCCACCATTTCCTCTGGGGGGGTCTCACTGTGATTCCCGTGGCATTCAGTTAGAGGCTTTTCTTGCCACCCACCCCCTCCATGTTTTAAATACAGGTACTCACACCCATTTTGATCCTCGGACTCACACTCTCTCTTGCATCGATCTCTCAGTCTGCTCTTCCTCCGCCGCATTAGACTTCACTTGGTCTGTTCTTCCGGACTTACATGACAGCGATCATTTCCCAATCATTCTTACTTCCCCTTCATATTCACCACCTCTTCGCATCCCACGCTGGCAATTTGATCAGGCAAATTGGAACCTTTACTCACACCTAACTGTTTTTAGAGAGGTTCCTTCTTCGTCCTCCATCGATGAGCTTTACACCTCTTCTCGTCCTCTGTTTTAACCGCAGCTTCTCATTCTATACCCCAAACTTCGGACAGGCATTCTCAGAAATGCGTGCCTTGGTGGTCTCCTGCTTGTGCTCGTGCAGTACGTTTGAAACGCGCTGCATGGGGCAGGTACCGGTACAATAGAACCACAGAGGGACTTCTTGATTTTAAGCAGAAGCGTGCGATCGCTCGCCGTGTCATCCGTGATGCTAAACACACTTGCTGGCGAGATTATGTCTCCACCATCACCTCTGCTTCCTCTATGAGTGCAGTCTGGAAAAAAGTACGAAAACTGAGTGGTAAATATTCTCCTGACCCGGCTCCTGTTCTGCGGGTTGCCGGTGTTGATATAGCAAACCCACTAGATGTTGCCAATGAAATTGGCAATCATCTGGTCTGTATTTCTCAGGGAATCCATCTATGCCCCTCATTTCTTTCTTCAAAGTCTGCCAGAGAGTTAGCACCCTTGGACTTTTCTTCTCTCAGAGAAGAACAGTATAATGTGCCTTTTACACTTCAAGAACTGGAGGCAACACTCTCAGCTTGCCGATCATCAGCAGCTGGGCCCGACGACATTCATATTTGTATGCTACAACATTTACGTCAGTCAGCCCTTGCAGTCCTATTACGCCTTTACAATCTTATTTGGTCACAAGGAGTTCTTCCACAGTTGTGGAGATCCACCATTGTTCTCCCTTTCCGCAAACCAGGCACTACAGGACATGAAACCTCCCACTATCGTCCCATTGCTTTTACCAGTGCAGTTTGCAAAGTGATGGAATGCCTAGTAAATAGACGTTTAGTGTGGTATTTAGAGACACACAACAGTCTCTCCACTCGTCAATATGGCTTTCGTAAGGGACGTTCTACCATAGACCCCTTACTACGCTTGGATACGTATGTTCGTAATGCCTTTGCGAATAACCACTCAGTTATTGCCATATTTTTTGACCTTGAGAAGGCATATGACACAACTTGGAGGTATAATATTTTAGCCCAAGCCCACTCCTTAGGCCTTCGAGGCAATCTACCATCCTTCCTTAAGAACTTTTTAACTGACAGGCATTTCCGTGTTCGGGTTAATAATGTGCTCTCCCCGGACTTTATCCAAGCTGAAGGTGTCCCCCAGGGATGTGTTCTGAGCACAACACTTTTTCTCCTTGCTATTAATGATTTGGCCTCTAGTCTTCCATCAAATATTTGGTCATCACTCTATGTTGATGACTTCGCTATTGCCTGTGCAGGCGCTGACTGTCACCTTATTACAGTTTCTCTCCAGTATGCAGTCAACCGTGTTTCCAATTGGGCCACCACACGTGGGTTTCAATTTTCCAGCACTAAAACCCACCAAATTACTTTCACTAGACGCTCTGTCATCTCCGATCATCCTTTGAACCTCTATGGCTCCCGTATCCCTGAACGTGATACAGTCAAGTTTCTGGGCCTCCTCTTTGATTGTAGGTTATCCTGGAAACCTCACATTACCTCTCTGAAGGCAACTTGTCACAGCCGGCTGAACCTTCTTAAAACCCTTGCTCATCTTTCATGGGGAGCTGATCGTCGAACCCTCCTTCACCTACATTCCACCCTTATCTTATCAAAACTTGATTATGGTGACCAGATCTATTCAGCGGCATCTCCTGCTACTCTCTCTAGCCTTAACCCCATTCATCACCAAGGATTACGTTTATGCCTTGGTGCTTTTCGCTCTTCCCCTGTCGAGAGCCTCTATGCAGAAGCGAACGTTCCATCCTTATCCGATCGCCATGATGCCCATTGCCTTCGCTACTATGTACGCTCTCGTGATCTCCGCAATCCTTCCATTTATAGAATGGTCACTGATATTAGTAGACATTCTTTATTTGTTCACCGCCCCTTTTTACTCCGTCCCTTCTCGCTTCGCCTTCATTCGCTCTTGTCTTCTCTTCAATTACCACCTTTCTATGTACATGTAGCATCTCACTTTTCCCTACCCCCCTGGGAAGTTCCAGCTGTTTGAGTCTGTTCTTTCTCTCTCCCTTGCTCGAAAGCCCAACTGTCTACGGTCGCTTCCCGCTCTCTTTTTCTTGACCACTTTCACTCTCATTCTCATGCCATTGCTGTGTACACAGATGGCTCTAAGTCTTCTGATGGCGTAGGATTCGCAGCAGTGTTTCCGGACAGCGTCGTACAAGGGCATTTACTATCTTCGGCTAGTATTTTTACTGCTGAATTGTATGCCATCCTTACAGCACTTATCCATATTGCATCTATGCCTGTGTCATCATTTGTGGTTGTCTCAGACTCCCTTAGTGCTTTACAGGCTATACAGAAATTTGATACACCTCACCCCTTAGTCCTCCGTATCCAACTTTGGCTACGCCGCATCTATACCAAGCATAAAGATATTGTTTTTTGTTGGGTCCCTGGTCATGTTGACGTACAGGGCAATGAACAGGCAGACACTGCTGCGCGGTCAGCAGTACATGACCTACCAGTTTTATGTAGAGGTATTCCATTTACGGACTATTTTGCTGCAATATCTTCCCAACTTCACACCCGTTGGCAACAACGTTGGTCTACTATGCTCGGCAAAAACTTCAATCTATTAAACCGAGTATAGGTTACTGGCTGTCTTCTTATCACCAGTGTCGAGGTTGGGAGACTACTCTCTCCCGTCTTCGCATTGGCCATACTCGTCTTACTCATGGATATCTCATGGAGAGGTGCCCTGCTCCTCTCTGTGAGAATTGCCAAGTTCCATTATCAGTCAGCCACATTCTGTTGGACTGCCCACTTTATCAACGAGCACGCAGAATTTACCTCCGTCGTCGTCTTCGCTCTGCTGCTCTCTCTTTACCTTCCCTTCTCGCTGATGGACCCACCTTTCATCCAGACTCTCTCATTGACTTTTTGACAACAACTGACTTACTTCACAAATTCTGATACCTTCAGCCCTTTCTACTTCAATCTCTTGCTACCCTCTACCCCCGTACTATCCCCTGCCCCGCTGTTTTCTGTAACCTACTGATCATCCCTCCTCCCTTCTGCCATCCAATACCCTCGCTTCCTTCCCTACCCTGCAGCGCTGTATGGCCCTTGTGGCTTAGCGCTTCTTTTTGATTATAATAATAATTTGACCACTTTATTGGGTAGTTGAAATAGGTAAATGGACAACTTCTTGTACTCAATTGACAAAATAGAAGGAATACTGACAAAATTGCTATGAGTTTGGTAGACTGTAACAATGGAATGGGCCAAAAATAGGACAAAAGGTGGGTGAATTCGCTGATGTGTAAATATCGCTGATGTGTAAATATCGCTGTTGGGTTAATTGTATTCTAGCCTAACCACTCTGTAATACTGGAAAATCACTAATCACCCTACAGGTCCCAATGATGCCGGATTAGTGATGGTCATCCTGTATAAAGTCTGGTGATAGTGTAGTATAGTGCCTAATGATAATGAGTACTGTAGTGTTTAGTGACAGTGTAGTTCAGTGCTCCTCCTTACTGGCCATACTGGACAGGGCCTTGTCAAACTCAAATACACTAACAAAAATATTTGTCTTCTGCATCAGTGGACCAAGTCTGCTTTTTCAGAAGAACAACTGGACAATCATGAGAAATTAATTTCATGATTCATAAGCTTCACACACTCAGCAATATTGTATATCCCCTCCCATACCCCATTAGTATGGTAATGAGAAGGTTCACTGTAATAGAAATCATAGCATTATCAAAATACAGTAATCTATTTAGTTTAGATATGGAAATATACTGTATTTTTATATCATTATTTATAAATGTTTTTTGAGAGTAAGCATACAATGTTATCTGTTTCAGCCCTGTGTCAAATATTGCTGTACTCAGAGTGGAAGTTAATCATCATCTTCTTCATCAGCCAGAAGAAACCCCCTGGCTCTTACTGCCCATTTGGGCCATAGCACTGATCATTTCCCTTTTGCTTCTATTACTTGTATTTATATTGGTAATATCAGCATCAAGGAAGTATGGTAAATATGAATGTGTGGAAGTTGAAACTTGAGATGTGAGAAGATTCCGAATGTGCCGCTTTTATTACAAATTCTATTTTTATTATCTATGAGTAGGATATCAAAGCTGTAATATGTTTAATATAAACTTACATCATGTATTTTATATTAAAATATAAAAAAAGGGTGTATACAATGCAATGCATATTTATAAAACAATCACACACACACACACACACGTAAGGGACACTACCAGAGAGGGAGGAGAGGATGAACCAGCGAGAATGGACCTAGTATTCACCTTGAGTAGCGCAGATATTGAGGACATCACATATGAAAGACCCCTTGGGGCCAGCAATCATGTGGTTTTAAGCCTCGAATACACAGTAGAGTTACAAGTGGAAGGGGAAGCAGGAAGGACAGGGCGAATGAAGCCAAACTACAAGAAGGGGATTATGCGGGAATGAGGAACTTCCTGAATGGGGTTCAGTGGGACAGAGAACTGGCAGGGAAGCCAGTAAATGAGATGATGGAATATGTAACAACAGTATGCAAGGAAGCTGAGGAGAGGTTTGTACCCAAGGGTAACAGGAATAATGAAAATGCCAAGATGAGCCCATGGTTCACCCAAAGGTGCAGGGAGGCAAAAACCAAGTGTGCTAGGAAATGGAAGAAGTACAGAAGGCAAAGGACCCAGGAGAATAAAGAGACCAGTCATAGAGCCAGAAATGAATATGCACAGGTAAGAAGGGAGGCCCAATGACAATATGAAAACGACATGGCATCCAAAGCCAAATCTGACCCAGAGCTGTTATACAGCCACATCAGGAGGAAAACAACAGTCAAGGACCAGGTAATCAGGCTAAGGAAGGAAGGAGGAGAGACAACAAGAAACGACCGCGAAGTATGTGAGGAACTCAACAGGAGATTCAAAGAAGTGTTCACAGAGGAGACGGAAGGGACTCCAGAATGACAGAGAGGTGGGGTACACCACCAAGTGTTGGACACAGTGCACACAACCAAGGAAGAAGTGAAGAGGCTTCTGTGTGAGCTAGATACCTCAAAAGCAATGGGGCCGGATAACATCTCTCCATGGGTCCTGAGAGAGGGAGCAGAGGCGCTATGTGTAGCCCTAACAACAATGTTCAACACATCTATCGAAACAGGGAGATTACCTGAGGTGTGGAAGACAGCAAATGTAGTCCCAATCTTTAAAAAAGGAGACAGACATGAAGCACTAAACTACAGACCAGTGTCACTGACATGTATAGTATGCAAAGTCATGGAGAAGATTGGTGGAACATCTAGAAAGGAATGATCTCATCAACAGCAGCCAACATGGTTTCAGGGACGGGAAATCCTGTGTCACAAACCTACTGGAGTTCTATGACAGGGTGACAGCAGTAAGAAGAAGGATAGGTAATTGCTATTAATGGGACTGTAAGAAGCATTTGACACAGTTCACACAAAGATTAGTGCAAAACATGGAGGACAGCAGGGATAACAGGGAAGCACTACAATGGATCAGGAAATATCAGTGGACCCGCTAACGATCACTCCAAATCGACATTAGTAAGTGTATTTATGTAAGTGCGTTTAGTATGTGTATGTTTGGGGCAATGGACTATCTACTTACATTTTCCTTATGGGATAAAAATGCAGTCAGTACGCCTGAACATACTATGGAATAGAAAAGTTCGTTAACCGGGGGTCCACTGTACTTGCAGGAAGACACCAGCGAGTCATGGTACTTGGCGAGGTGTCAGAGTGGGCACCTGTGACAAGTTACACCCCACAGGGGTCATTCCTAGGACCAGTGCTGTTTCTGGTATTTGTGAACAACATGACAGAAGGAATATACTCTGAAGTGTCCCTGTTTGCAGATGTGAAGATCAGGCAGAACTACAAAGGGATCTGGACAGGCTGCAGACCTGGTCCAGCAATTGGCTCCTGGAGTTCAACCCCACCAAGTGCAAAGTCATGAAGATTGGGGAAGGGGAAAGAACACCGCTGATGGAGTACAGTCTAGGGGGCCAGAGACTACAAACTTCATTCAAGGAAAAAGATCTTGGGGTGAATATAACACCAGGCATATCTCCTGAGGCACACATCAACCAAACAACTGCTGCAGCATGTGGGCACCTAGCAAACCTAAGAACAGCATTCCAACATCTTAATAAGGAATTGTACAAGACCCTGTACACTGTGTACTTTAGACCCATATTGGAGTATGCGGCACCAGTTTGGAACCCACACCTAGCCAAGCACATAAAGAAACTAGAGAAAGTGCAAAGGTTTGCAAGAAGACTAGTTCCAGAGCTAAGGGGCATGTCCTGTTTGCAAGAAGACTAGTTCCAGAGCTAAGGGGCATGTCCTATGAGGAGAGGTTAAGGGAATCGACCTGACGACACTGGAGGACAGGAGAGATAGGGATGACGTGATAACAGTATATAAAATGCTGAGAGGAATTGACAAGGTGGACAAAGACAGGATGTTCAAGAGATTGGACACAATAACAAGGGGACACAGTTGGAAGCTGAAGACACAGATAAATCACAGGGATGTTCGGAAGTATTTCTTCAGTCACAGAGTAGTCAGGCAGTGGAATAGTTTGGGAAGTGATGTAGTGGAGGCAGGATCCATACATAGCTTTAAGCAGAGGTATAATAAAGCTCATGGTTCAGGGAGAGTGACCCAGTAGCAACCAGTGAAGAGGCAGGGCCAGGAGCTATGACTTGACCCCTGCAACCAGAACTAGGCGAAGTACACATACGAACTCCATAAATGGATTCAAATGTAAATATGACAGAACTCGAGGGGTTAGTGATGCATCACATACATTGATAGTTGAGAGGTGGGGTTCAGGAGCCGATGCTCAACCTCCGTAAACACAACTACCAGTAAATAGGTAAATGCTTACAAATATTTTTTAAGTTCTGAATGGATATCAGTGTTTTGGTAATACTGTACTATACTGTACTTCACATAAAAGGATGGCATGATAAACAAATCCATTTTTCTATTATTGTTTTAACAGCATAGCAGTGTTTTGATATTAGCTTTTTAACTGATTTTATTAAATGACTAATCATTGCTTGCCTCAAACACAGGTTAAATGATTCTGTTATAATACGTAATATATTTTGTATTTGGAATGATTGTATGTAACTGAATTACAGAAAATGCTAAATACCCTGATATCAGTTTGAAACCTGAAGGAAACTTCTGAATATAGAATAATTCATGAATAAAAATGTAATATTTTTGGTCTGAATTTTAAAGATAATTTCAGATTCGGAATCTTCGGAAACATTCTCTTGAATTCAAAGATATTCCAACCTGGTAAGTTTATTAAAATTAAAATGTAGCATATATACTCTCCAGTATATTTTGAATTTTGGACACTATTCTAAATGAAAATTTTTTAGCAATTATTCTCCTGGAAAATTCTACATAAGAGAGTTATTCCAAACTGAAATTCAGAACTATTGTAGTTCTTAGGTATATTTAAAATCTTGGATATTATCCCAAATTCTTATTTTTATTATTATTATTATATTATTATTAAGTGCTAAACCCAGTCTTGAAGAATCTGTTTTCTAAATTTGGGAGAATACCAAAAAGTAGAGTTCTGAATAAAAGTTAATGTTGTATAAAGTATTGAAGTTAATAAGTGCAGTAATTTATAAAAATTAGTTACTGGTGTGGGCATGGAGTAGACAGGACAGGACAACAAGCAACATTTCTACAACTCTTCACATGTTGTATTCAAGGTTATATGGTCTGTACTCTTATTTGTAAATCGTAGCTCAGTCTGACTTGTGTGAACAAAAAAAGCACAATACCCTGACTGGAACAATACACAAATAACCAGCATTACCACTACTTCTCCACTTCCTTCTTCCTCTCTCTGTCCTATCCTTGTCTCCCTCACTTATATATACTGCCTCCCTCCCTCTTGTGTGTTAGTGTGACTTTTAAATGGCCCAGATCAGACTAAAACATTTTCATAAGCTTCTCTCTCATATGTTTGGGTTATTTTTGTATGACTTGTTTGAGGTGTGACCTTTAAGTCAAGACTCACGAAATCATAATGACACGATTGCAAACAAACCATACCCATGGTATGGTTTGTTTTTTTAAGTCAAGAGTTATGACCTTGGTCATTTTGAGGTTACAGGACAATTTTGATTTAATAGGCTTTGTCTATTAAATCATAAATGAATTTAGAGTACTATAACAACAAATAATTCTGGATTTAACAGATTTTGTCAGGCATTTACAAATGTTGTCCAGCCAGAGATTTTGTTCAACATTTTACTGTATTAGTAATCAGCAGAGTACAGTAGGGCCCCACTTTACGGCATTTCGCTTTACATTGTTCCACTGATACGGTCATTTCAAATTATGACCAAAACTCGCTATACTGCTCCCCCCGCCTGACTTTCTAATACTGTCACTGCGCCCCACCCGGTTTGTTTACATTCTCCGTGAGATCCGTAAGCACTAAGTCTCTCCATTATGTCTGGAAACTCGAAAATTTCAAGTGTTTTTCAAAGTTATTTCATATTTTATATATACTCTGATAATTATACATACTTATGTATACCTGTACCTAAATAAACTTGCACACTGTGCTGGTGTGCAGGTACACATTAAAATCAGTGTCTTATGTCTCGAGATGTCATATTAGTAATGATAATAATAATCACCGAGTCTCATTTAAATGTCGTATATTACATTAATATATACATTTTCATTAATCCATCTATGATATTTTTTCAAAATTATATAATAAACACGATGCATAACATATAAATATGATAAATACACCCCAGAATACACCGTAGAATAAATAAACATAAATATGAGATGTGGTAGCAGATGACTTGCACAAGTGACGCCATATTAGAAATAATCGCCGAGTCTCATTAAATGTCGTATATTACGTTAATACAGTGGACCCTCGCCTAACGATATTAACCCTTAAACGGTCCAAAGAGATCGATGTTCAAATTCGT